AAAATAATTTCCTGTAATTTTCCTATTTTATCTATAAAACCAATCTTATGCCTGGTATGTAAATTTTTTGTAGCTGTGAGACTATTGTCAATTTCTAATGATTGTTACAAAATTTCTCTTCACACATTCCTTATATAAACCATAAGAAATTCTAACATCAATTCATTCAATTCTATCGGTCGGCACTCAGCCTCCCACAACACACTCTTCATATTTCTCCCAGTTCATTACGTTACTACTTACAAATTTCGCCCATTGTTATACTGGTATTATTCTGGACATCATTCTATAACTGGAATTATTTTGAACCTGTTTCTATTGTATTTGGTATCCGGACGATAATAAAGGATAAACTGCAGTACGTTTCGAACACATAACAATACCGGTACTCTGTAAGTCATTCCTTTGAAACTTGACTTCTATAACTAACAAAAACAATACCCCTCATCTTCCTACTCTTTTTTCACAACATAAATTTTTGGCGCTCGGGGTGAGGTAAGATTTAAATTGACCATGATAAATAACAATTATAATTGGAGATCCCTATTGATATGACTCTCACTATACTAGAAAGTATAAAACCTGTAAAGAATCGACTAACAAACATCCTCCAAGGAATAAGGGCATTAGATGTCGGATTGCCAGAAGAAAGTTTGCCATGTCCAAGACGACTTCAAATATGTGAAATTAAAAGGCGACTTTTTGATGAGAAAATTATGAGGGTACAAATGTGTATTCAATCACTTCAAGAAGCAAACGACAGATGGATCGATTATGTCCAAAAGTCCCTTACCGTAGCAAGAAAAAGGGAGGAAAAGAAGAAATATGAAGAAGTAACGATAGGAGAGCAACGAATTTTTAACTTAGTACAAGAAGCACAAGAAGCTACTACTGCTTTAACTATTTATAAAAAGAGATTGACTTTGGAATCCAGAACTCCAAACCAGCAGCATGCATTACTAACGGAGGTACCGATGCGAATTCCATCTACTACCTATGCTAATAATGTCAATCTCCCTCAATTATTTTTACCTATTTTTAATGGCGGCCCACGATAGTGGCGAGAGTTTTGGAGTAGTTTTAACGCTGCTGTACACTCACAAACCATTCTGAAAATCCAAAAACTAAACTACTTAATTTTCTGTTTAAAAAGATCAACACTACAAGCCGCAAGGGGTATCGGAAAACCGAGAGAATTTATTATGCATTAAATCCTTAGAATATTTCTAATGATTCATCGCTGCATTTACTTACTAATTTACATTCCTTAGAACCTAATTTCTCATGCTAATCTTCCTATCTAATTTTGTTATAATGCTTGTACCGTTTCCGGTGTGTTCCCGGTGCTTGAATGTTTAATGTAAACCACCCCTACTTCTTAGGACATATGAACCCTCTTTGTAACAAAACAAGGACTTTGGGGGCTGGTGCTCTTCTATAGTTTATTACTTACGATTGCGTTGACTCATGGTTGAGCGATTTCCTACTCGTTACTCTTCAGTAATCCCACTGGTCAGCTCTGTATTATATCAGTAAAGCAGTAATTTTTACTCTGTGTCCTCACAGCGTATATTCGACGTCCTCACAAGGTAACCCTTTAATTAAATTTCTGCTTGATCCTAACTCAAGGCTAAACCTTCTAAATCTAAACGACTCGATAAAAAAAATAATTTTTCACAACAAAGTTTTGGTGCAACGAGGTGAGTGCAGAGCAGAAAAAATGGCTTTCACCATTATTGAAAGTATTAAACCCGTTAAAGACCGTCTAGAAAGATCACTGAATCAAGTAAAAACTATGGATATCCAATCGCAAAACCTAGCCTTACCAAATCACGAGCGACGCCAAATTAACGAAATCAAAGATCGACTCATAAGCGAAAAAATTCGTTTACAAATGTGCATCGACTTTATTGAGGCGTTAAATAAGCAGTGGATAGAATGGGCCCAAAAATCCAAAATAAAAAAGGAAGATGAGGAGAACTACGAACAAATAGCTATGGGAGAGCGAAACGTCTTCGTCTTAAAGCAGGAAGCGAAGGATGCCATCATCACGTTAACTATGTATAAGGAGGAAATTAATAATGAAATCAAACAAATAACTTCTAAACCGCCAATAACGGAGTCAACACCAATAACATCCTATCGTAACATCAATCTCCCTCAGCTATCAATCTTCCCACCTTTGATGGAGAACCCCGAGAATGGAGAGAGTTTTGGAGCGGGTTCAATGCGACTGTACACAACCAGGATATTCCACAAATATCGAACTCCGCGTCGTGGTGAAGTAGTATTATTAAATGAACTTGGACAACCAAGGGATAATATGGAAGCTAGTAAAGATTCAAGAGCTCAATATTGGAAAAGATGAAGGAGTTAGGAGTGTAATGGTACAAATCCCTAATAGAAAACTCTTTAAAAGACCAATAATTTACTTTATCCCTTGGAAGTAAAAGAAGAAGGCAGTGAAGAAGTCAGAACAACAACGACAAAGGATAAACCAAACGAGGAACCAATCGTTCTCCGAACTAGAGGAGCATAAAAAGGGAGAGAACTTATTAAACCAGGTACTACAACAAAAAATTCACTATTAATTGCCATTTTTTCACTGTCCCTACCATTTTTTTCTACTGAAAATTGCAAATGGGTTTCTGGGATGCCGTTTAGTCTTCCGCAGAAATGGAACTGCGATGATCAATTCATTGCAAACTTCACAATAAATAGGATGATGATTTACACCAAAACTCATGTAAGGATACCAGCACTCAAATGTATAATATCACCCGCACGGTATGTACTAAACGTTTCCTAAGAATTTCTCAGTGGAATCAGACCAAACCACTATTTCGACAGTTACCTCACACTTTTGTAAAGTACTCGGTAAGAAAAAATTAAGCGGAAAAGATTTTCAACAGATATCTCCAAATCAATGGAGAACCGTAAACAATGTGCAATATTCATGGTTCAAATTCGATGTCAATCAACAACTTCCTATTACGAGAAGGAGAAATATTAATCCATGATGGAAGAGAAACGGCATCGGATCTCGATACTATCCAACATTGCCTCACACAAAGCGGAAAATGTATAACTAGTACAAGTATTGTTCTATGGAATGAAACAGAAACTGTAAGTACTTATACCGAAAGATTGGAAATTACCAGGCACGAGTCTATGACGTTCACATCATTATTGGTGAACTTCAAGTGGTATTTACATTTAAGTATAACAAAACAACTGATTCAAGAAACCGCGATTTTATCAATCCAAATACAATGGACAACAATACTGTAATCGACAAAATAAATACAATAAACCTTTACCAAGATACAAACCAGGTAACTTCAACTTATAAAGGATTACTCATGATGGAAAACACTAAAGAAAAGGGAACTGATCCAGAAAATACCAAACTTCAATATCTCTATAATACTCTTCAAGAACAATTTCAACAAAGGTTTAATGAAATCAATCAAAATAGCTGCCGTAACCGTAATAATTTATTAACACTTATTGAGTGGATATTGCATGATAATCCTACTGTAGCAATAATCTAATACTACAAAGGGACAACATAATCGCAAAATATATCAATGGAAGTCTTCAAATTGCACCTTGCAAATCGAACAACCACGAATTGAAGTCAATAAAATTTACCAGTAACATCATCGATCACTTTAAAATTGAAAGAATAAATGCTGAGCTGGAAATTTTACCACAACAACAGACCTACAGCAATTAGCAAGCTAAACGGAATATCTGGGAAGAGATCAACCAAGAAAGTACCGATCAGAACAAATCGGATATGGAGTCCACAAAATGACCGAACTAATACAAGAAGAATTGGACAAACTTTGTGATGCATTGGCGATTCATCACTTCTGGCGTTTGCGTTTTCGTAATTTGTTTGGTAATAATTATC